TGTCCTCGTCATCCTCGGCCTCGAGGTTAACAAACTCGCCGTTGTGGAGATAGGCGATCAGGTCGATTTTGAAGACAGCCTGCTTGACCCAGAAGAGCTTCAGCAGCTGGGCCTGCTGGGGGTCAGACGGTCGCCCTCCTGGCAGATGACATAGTCGTAGTCAATGGTGATCTTGCCCTGCCTGAGCAGCGTGGGCATGCCGAGCTCGCGCAGCTGGGGCTCCATGTTATTCGGGAAGGTCTCCTGGGTGTACCCCCTGGTGACCTCGCCAGCCTGGACCTCGACCTTCTCGGTGGCAATGCAGCCAGCCCTAGCATAGTCGTCGGCTGCGTACTCGTCAAACGCCTTCTTCACGTCCTCGATGCTGTTGTTAGTAAACAGCAGGCCGACCTCGCCAGTCAGCTGCTCGGCGATCTTGTGCATGTCGGGCTTGATCTCTTCCTCGGCGGTCTTGCCCAGGGCCTTGGCCATGACCTTGTTGCTCCGAAGAAAAAGCGGCTGGTCTTGAAGTTGTTGCGCACGGTCTTTAGGTAGGCGTTGCGCATGTTCTCGACCGAGAATACCCAGACGTAGTCGTAGGTGTCGGCGGCGACACGCACTTGCTCCATCAGCGAGGACTTGGCCTCGCGACCCTTCGACTTGGTCTTTGTCAGCGTGACGACCTGCGATCTCTTGGCCTTGGGCATGGTTGTGTATGTGACAAAGGTGTGGAGAGGAGTTAGGAAAGTGGAATAACGGGGAGGCAAAAAGGAGCGTGGACTCGCGGGTTTTTGCTGCAGCTTAGAGCATAATTTTTTTGTTAGCAAGAACAGGAAGAAAAAAAATTGGAAAAATTCAATTACATCTAAATCCTGATCGGCTGATTACACGGGTGCAGAGTCGAATGGCCGGATGTCCAGCGTGCGGTACAGATCGGCGACCAGATACAGCGATCCACACAGCACGGTCAGGTAGCCAGCAGACTGCTCGACCCTCAGCTGCTCGACAGCCAGCAATTGGCGACACAAATTCAGTGACTGGCGTGTCGGGGAAGGCAGCGGAGACCTGGTGCGCAATGTCGCCGGGGTCGCAGCATGTGATCCAGGGCATCTCGTCGGGCTGGGCAAAGGGCACAGCCCAGACAACGTCCGCCGGACACACCAGCTGGCGCAGAATGGCAGCGACATCCTTGCCGCGCGTAAACCCGACGAATCCAGCGCCACGGGCGGCGGCTCATTGAGGGTGCGGGCAGCAGTGCCTGCCAGAATATGGCGCTGCTGGGCGAACCGACGCAAAGCAGTGTCGACGTATTTGCGCCAGCTCGGCAGCAGCCGGCTCGTTGTGGGCACCGTCGGCCAGCAGCCAGTGGGCGAGGCCGTCACCGGCAGGCCGCAGGCGCAGCCACGCCAAACGGCCCGGCCAACGCACGTTCTGGAAGCCGACCTGGATGGCCGCGTCGGTCAAAAAGGTCGAAGCCGTAGTGCGTGCGCAGCACATCCAGCGCATAGAAGGCAATGCCGGCGTTGGCTGCCTGGTAGTGCCCAGCCAGGACCAGCGGCAGATCCACGTCGGTGGTGGGCGTCGGCGGTGCTATGGCCGCATGACTGCCGCGCCCGCTTCTCTGCTCGTCGGGCGAGTGCGGGTACCGCGCGCGCAGGCACCGACGGCCAGTGCCGTTGAATGCAGCCCAGCTCGGCACCTCGTCGGCTGGGCGGCTCACCAGGCGCGGGTGGGCGGCGGTTACCGGCGGCTCGGGCTTGACGGCAAAATGCCGGTACATGCATGTCGTGGGTCGGCTGGCGGCGTAGATTGACGATGCGCGCGGGCGACAGCTTCTGGGCAATCTGCCGCACGCGGTGGAAGGCCGCCGAGCGCCCTGCGTGCCCAGCACCACCCACGAGCCCGGCCGGATGATTCCTGCCTTCTCCTGCGCAATCTCCTCGATTGTGTCGCCGATCATCCCCACGTGGTCCTCGTCGATTGCGCAGATGCACTGCACCAGCGACTGCCCGGCGAACACCCCGCCTGCTGCGCCCTGCTCCACCACGCCGAACACATTGGTTGCGTCGCGCAGCCCGCCCATCCCTACCTCAATCACCGCCACGTCCACCTTGCTCTCCGCAAACCACCACAGCGCCGCCGCCGTCGCCTGCTCGAACAGGGACAGTCGCCCGTGCTCTGACGCCGTTTTTGCGTCCAGATCGTTGATCCACACCCGCAGGTCTCTGTAGTCACTGGCTGGAATCGCCACGCCCTGGATCCCGGATCGCGTCGTTGGGCTCAAGAAAGTGCGGCGAGTTGAACGTCCCTGTCTTGTAGCCCGCCGAAATCAGCGCCTGTGAGATCAGCGCACAAACTGAGCCCTTGCCGTTCGTCCCTGGCTACGTGCACCACCCGCAGCCCCAGTCGCGGGTCGCGCGGCAGCCGGTACCGCAGGAAATCCGTGATGCGCTCGAGCCCCAGGCTGATTTTGCCTGCAGTATCTGTGGTCATGCCTCGCTGGAATAACGTGTCTTTGGTGTCTTGCTGGTTTGTCTCTTCCCACCCGCAGCGATATCTCCAAGCGTGTTTCTCAGGACGCGCACGACCTTTGGTTTGAAAAAGAGTGGGTATAATTGTCCTAGCACGATCGAAGGAGGAACAAAAGTGTGGCTCACAAAACAGAAAAATGACGTGGTGGCGAACTGAACAAAAGAAAAAAACTGCTAATTTTTCCAGCTGCGTGCTCAAGGATCTTCCCACTGCGTGCTTGGTTGTAGTGGCCTGGTACTGTGAGTGTGGTTTGCTTCCTTTTCCTGTTTGCACTTTGCAGCTATGACGAAGTACACGCGTGGCTAGCGCAGAAGTGCTCTGCTGTTTTCTCTGGGCAGTAAAGGGCCGTTTGCCTCTGCTTTGCAAAAAAGTTCACTTTGCTGTGGAGGTTGCGGTAAGGTGCTGCCAAGGCCCCCACCAAACAAAACCGGATATTAATGTAGCGGATAATCGCTGCGTGTATCCCCCAAATAAAATACAAAGCGAGCCAGATGCTTGGCGATATATGAAAAACCCTCTCCCGAAAAGATATTGAAAACGGGTGTGTGGATAGGAGAAGAGGGGAGAAATACACAGAGCTGTGCTTCTGCTGGCGAGGTGCTGCAAAAAGCCGCCTTTAAGCAAAATGCGAGTGACTTTAGCGATGTATGCCTGCAACAGGCAGTAAGGCCCCATGCCACAACCCTTGCAACGGCTGGGTGGATAAAGCCCAGTACCACTACACCACATGTATAGCGAGCCAGCAGAAAAGAGGAGAAAAATCATGTACAATGAATGACGTCAGCCCCACACCCCCTTCGCCGTAGTGCGTGCTTGCAAAGCGCTGTAGATTGTTTCATTTCAAAAACTGCACAAGGTTGCTTCGGAAGGCGAAGCGGCGGAGTTGCTGGTATCTCACCACCTTTTTGTGGTTATTGTGTCTGCCTACCCAGTAGCCGGGAGCTTTTGTTGAACATCGCTATTCCTCCATTACAATACCATTGCCTAGGTTTGGAAGACAGCCTCGGCTATAGCCTCAGGTGGGGTTTAACAGAAGCACTTGGCTGAAGACTCGCTATACCTGTGTAATTGGCATGGGTGGGTGGCCTCGTGTGTAGCCACATGGCGCTTTCCTGCCCTCCCCTTGCTGTCACTCCGCGAACTCGTGAGGGCATGTCAAATGCCCACCATTGAGCTCCGCTATATGAATTCCTCTTGGCCTCGCCTGCATCCCTTTTGATGAAATCACACGCCGCTCCGCAAATGAAATGGCTCTGAGTGTATGCCGCGCAGAGGAGAGAAAGGAACAGAGCTCGCTACTGCGGCCTTGCGTCGCATACGCTTAGCATCCTGTTGCACTTATTTATTGGTTGACATAAACCGAAAAATGGCAAGGCTGTCTAATAAATACAGCAGAGCGCCAGTTATGAAGGAGATCTAGGCAAGAGAAATAGCCCAATCCATCTCGAAGCGAGTGCCATTGTCAGCTGCTAAATATTCAGGCATGTGCAAAGAGCGTGCCTTGCATTCAATTTCTCTTACTCAGCGACGGCTCCTGCGCCTGCCGCCCGACCGCCGTGGGCTCTTGGATCCGTTCTCCTGGGCTGCATCCCCGCGGTTATCCCTCAGCCGATCTAGAACCGACCGCGGCTTGTCACCACAGGACTCTTTGCCACTGTTCTCTTTGCTTGACCGCCCGCGGATCGATATCTCCACGTCTTTCGTATTGCGCTCTCCTCTATTCCGCGCCCTGTCACCAGATGATTGCCCGCGCTCAGAGCTCCGTCCGCGACGCGACTCGTACTCGCGCCGCCGGTCACGCTTGTCTCTGTCGTCGTAATACCTCGATCGCTCATTGCTATCGTATCTACTACGCCGCTCGCGGCTAGGGCTGCGACTGGTACGGTAGCGCCGCCTGCTTGGGGAGCGGCGCCGGCTTGATGAGCGCTGACGGCTTGATGAGCGCTGACGGCTTGGTGAGCGATGCGGCTGAGGAGATTCCATGCTCGGTGGCACATAATCTTTACTGACCGTTTCATTCGCGTCACCGGCTACGTCGCCATCTCCAGCTCCAATCTCGCCCTTACCATTGGTCTTCTGAGCCGGTTCTACCTCCAGCGAACCCCTATCATCGTGCCTCGACAAAGCCGGCCTCTCCGGATGCTCAGCATCACTAGGGTTGTAGCTGCGACTACGACTGCGGTGGCTATGGTGGGGGTGGCGACGCGACCGGCTACGTCCTGGCGACCGGCTGCGTCCAGATGACCGGCTGCGGCCAGGTGATCGCCGCTGCCGGGGCGAGTTTCGACCACGCCCAGTGTTGTAATCGCTACTATTCTGCTGTTGCGGTGGCGGCAGCGGCGGACGTACCCCAGACATGTTTGACGGGTTCATATTGTTCCACTGCGCTCCAGGCATGGGCATCCCGGGCGGCATAAACGGCATTTGGCCCATTGGTGGCATGCCCATATATCCTTGCGGCATACCCATCATCATCCCTGGAGGCATCATGCCCATGGGCTGCGTTGCACGCCGCGGATGCGGCTGCATCTGGACTGGCGGCGGTGGCGGGCGTACTGGCTGATCAGCCAGCGTAGGTGCTACAGCGATTGAGGCTGTAGCCGCGGTTGTCTTGTTATCGTTCTCATTGCTAGGCTTGCTAGCTGAATATTCGCGCAAAAACTTATCCACCTTGGTGCGCACTGCATCGGCCGATGTGAGCTGGTCAGGTACCACACCGGGAGCCTTGCACGACGGACACGTAAAGTGCTTCTCTCCGGGCTCGAGCAGCGACTGCTCAATACATTCCGAGCAGTACACTGTATCGCAGCACGGGACCTTCACAGCGTCGCGCAAGAGCTGGCTGCAGATCGGGCACTTGAGGTCGCCAGGCACCTGGCTCGGATCAACAGCTGACTCGGTCGAGAATAGCTTGCTCGACTGCTTCTGCGCCTCGTTCCACGCTGCCTCGTTCGCCTGGGCTACCACCAGCGTGCCATCGCTCGTCACCAACGCATTGCCGCCCTCCTCGAGCTTGTCGACTTTTTGGAGGAACGACTTGGGAATACCCGTGGTCCGCTTGATCCGATGGCCCGTGTTGCGTGTGTTGCCATCGCTGGGCTGCCCGATGGTCGGGCAGTTGTGGATCCAGTGACCCGCAATGCCGCACCGGTGGCAGACATAGTTGGGCGGTGGCGGGCCCTGGTGCTCAGGGCGTTCGATGCGAGGCCTTGGGCGGTATGCCCCACCGCGGTTGTTGAACACCGGTCGCTGCCTACAGGAAAATTGAAAGCATGGTGTGTGTTAGCAGCAGATGCCAAATGTGGAAGAAGGACGCCATCCAATCCCGCTCTGGTCCCGCTCTTCTCTCTCGCATCATGATCCTGCCATGGACCACCCCCTCCTCCTTTGCGAGTTAGCTTCAACGTTGCAATATCCACCAACGGCTCTATTCCGCGTAAGTGTAAAAAAGCTATAGTCGTGACATACATTTGCATGATGGTCTGCTGGTGGGACCACTGTTCGTCAGTCTGCTGCAGCATCGCTGCAATACGAGCCTCCTCGGCGTCAGATATCACATCTGGGTTGCGCTCCAGCTCATGCTGCCCATTTAGATCGCCTACTCCAGACCCCACCCCGCTGTTGTTGTTTTGGCTGGACGAGTAGCTGTTGTTGAGCCCGATACCCTGCGGCCCGCGATACCCGTATTGGCTCGTGGTGGTCGAGGGGTTATTCCCATGGTGGCCACGATGGAAGCCGCCGCCATAGCCTTGTCCACCGCCTCCACCACCTCCACCACCACCGTAGCCCGAGGAGCGGTTGCCCGCATGGTGCTGCTGCTGGCCAAACTGCTGGGGCTGCTGCTGCTGGCCCTTGCCGCCCTGCGACATCTTCGGGCCCTTGTAAGGCACACGGCGCACCATCACGGATGTGCTCTTTGGGATCAGCGCCGACTCATCCGTGTAGTCTAAACAGTTGTCAAAAATGGATCAAGAAATCAGCTGGTGAACATACTGACAGCAGCTTAACGTAATGCTCTGTCCGCGTGTATACAAAAGATCCGCACTGCCTTACCTTCATTGGTCTGCGCGTTCGTGACAACCAGATCGTTCTCTTCTGGGTCCAGGCGCTTCTCGCGAAGGATTTCCTGCTTCAGGTCATACACCGAGATAGACAACCCATCAAACACAATCGACGAAAAGTCCTTGGCCGCACGAAACTTGTAGTGAATCTGCGACATTGCTGGCTACGCACTCGGATAAAGAGAGAGATAATGTGAAACCAAAGCTGCAGTCGAAAAAGGGAAGTGACGGCTGCGAAATATACGTGGTTGAAGGTAGAAAGCTAATGGGTTACGTGTGCAAAAGAGAGGCTCGTGTATTTTAGAAAAATAGAAAGAATAAACTCTGCAAGCTTTAAATGAGAAAAGAGGGGCAAGGGCCGCTCGCGAGCTAAAACGAACACGCAGCAGGTGAAAAAAAAAGGCCCAGGCGGGCATGGTGCTGGTTTCAACCTCGATCTTGCAATCTAATCACAGCTAATACTAATAAGCGTGTTGCCGTAGCCAGTGCCAACGCTTGGCAGGCGCCCTGGTGCTGTTGCTGCTACTGGCCACAGCTGCCGCGGGCACACCACATTGGCAAGTGACGGATCTCCTGCATTGGCATGCTCGTTCCACCCCCACGCCCACACGCTGCCGTTGCTGAGCACAGCGACAGTATGGTTGGAGCCACACGCAATGTCAACTACCGCGCTCTCTAGCGCAACATCGACAGTGTCGCGGCTTCCGCCAGGCATGGTCATCGGCGTTTTGCCCAGCTGGCCATGGTCGGATCGCCCCCACATAGTAACGCAGCGACTCGTCTGGCTACCCTCTGCAGGATCCAACAGCACCGCACCAAACTCCCATCCCGAGCACAGCTTTCGTGCAGGCGAGCTGAGACGGAACGACCGCCATGTGCCAACAACAGCATCGTAGCTGCTAGGCCCGCATTGCGCATACCTGTCCTGGCCAGCAACAAACACGGTCACACGGTCGCTGGATATGGCTACAGAATGGCTACGCCCGCACGCAATCATCGAGATCGGTGGGAGACCAGCAGAAACCAAGATTGGCTCACAGACATTTGGCTGCTTCTTTGTTCCAGGAACACCAAGCTGGCCACACCGGTTCGCTCCCCATCCAAATATATCGCCACTGCCAGTCAGGGCAAGCGAGTGCCTCATTCCGCAGGCAATATCGACTATTTTTGCACTGCCTCCTATGCGTATTTCCGACCATTGCATCGCCTTTGATACTCCGGGCTCAGGGTTGATCCCAAGCTGTCCGAATCCACCGGATCCGGCCGAGAAGAGCCTGTGTGTGTCGTTGAGCAACAGTGTGTGGCTCCAGCCGCAGGCAATCTTGTAGACTGACTCTCCTGGGAACTGTATCGGTGTCCAGTGCAAGTAAGGCCCAGATGATGCAGTCGGTATTCCCAGCTGTCCATCGGCATTTGTACCGCTGCCAAAGAGAAGACGGCCCTTGTCGCGCACTAGAAACGTGTGGTTTCCGCCTCCAGCGATAACTGCATCACCAGCCATCCCAGCAGCACTGCACTCTTGCCCAAACACAGTTTCAGTAAGGAAATGTGCATCATCTAGGCTCCCAGTTGCTAGCTGACCGCCCGAGTTGGATCCGAGGGCAAATACTGTATCCATGTGCGTATCCATAAACCAACGTTGCAGAATGTGAAGATGCCAAACGATCGCATGGCGGAAAAGTAGACTGTAAAAATCTCTACTTTTTTTACCAGACTTATGGCGCTCGCAATGCGAGCTCGGCTAGTCGGTATGGAGCGTAGAACATAGCCTGCATGTCACAGACGCTTGAGTGCCTCGAATCGCTTCTGGAGTTCGTCGATTGACGGCAGGCCATCATTGGCAGGCGCCGCAGCAGCCTTCGAAGCTCCAGGGCCAGCCCTGGCAGCGGGTTTGGTTGAGGGAACAGAAGGCAAGGCACTGGGTTTGTTCGCATTGGGAGCAGTGTTCACTTTCGCCGGGGATGGTGTAAAGCTTGCTCCCTTCTGCTCGCTGCTGCCACTCTCTTCAGCGGCCTTTGCGCTATCGGCATCCTTGACATTTGCAGCAGAACCGGCAGCATTGGCTGCAGAAATCGGCGCCTCCAGCACCTTCTCCCTTTCGCCACCCCCCGGCCCATCCTCATTGTCAGCGCCATCCTCGCTCTGCTCGCCCTCTGGCCGCCAGCCGACATTATATGCATTTGAGATCTCCTTCAAGTACATTTCGACCAGGAAGCGGGCGGGAGCCTTGACGCCAAGTTTGTGCACAAGCTTCGGGCTCACAGTGCCGTCGACGTTGTCCATTGCGTTCTTGATGTATTCGGCGCCGTACTTCGCCGCCAGCAGCTCGCGGATCATGACGAGTTCTTTGACGTCGACCCGTGTCGACGCGTAGGCAATAGATGCCACGGCGTCTTCAATCCCAGGGTCGACTGTCCGTGACTGCTCAATCATACCGAGGCGCGCGTTCAGCAGCTCGCAATACAGCTCGACTATCTCCAGCGCCTCGATGTTAAAGTCCTCGCGTATGATGTTCTCAACCTAGCGGGTATCCAGAAGACAAGTGTGAGTAGCTGGCCGAGCAGGGCAGAGAAGGCGTCTGCTCGCAGGTGTGCATTCGGAAGAGTGGTGGCACAGCCCTAGCTTACCCGAATATAAGCGCTCTCTATCTTGCCTGTCTCGAGCAGCGTTGCTATCTCCCGCCGCGCCTTGGTGTTGAGTGAGGCCGTCTTGGCCTGCAGCAGCTTTAGTCGGTGAATGGCGAGCTTGAGCTCGACCTTGAGCTTACTGATTGCAAAGCGCATTTTACTAGACTTTAGCGAAAAATAGAAAGTGGTGAAAGTGGAGCCGAGGGAAGAAAGAAAGGCTGTCTGGATTACGTGTTCGGAACAAGGACGCCTGCTGGAGGGGGTGGTGCGTTCTTTGGTCTTGCCCTGCGCCAAGACCACTACTGACTCAGACCAGCCAGTAACCTGCTGGTGGCTTTACAGAGAAGAGGCAGGCGGGGTGAACTGCTCGGGAATGCGCTTCTTCAGGAACAGCGACATGTGCATGATCTCATCCTCGCAGCTCGAGTGCTCCATGTGCTCGTAGACATGGAACTTGCAGTCGTATCCCTTGCTGGTTAGCGTCTCGTTAGTCATCTTGCCATACTCAAACAGCACCACACCGTCAGCTGTACCGTGGCCTTGCATAATAGGCACCGACTTGCTTGCTTCGGTAGCCAGCTGGAAGATCCGGTCGCGAATCGGCAGGTACGCGCTGAGCACGATAAGGCCACCCAGCTTGAGCTCGGACTGCAGCCCGGTGAACAGCGCCATGGCACCGCCCTGGCTGAACCCGCCCAGCACAATGCGCTCCGGTGAGATCCCAGCCGCGACTTCGTCAGAAATGATCTTGTTCACCTTGATCATCGACTCGCGCATCCCGGCCTCGTCCTCGTCCTTCATGACCCGCCCCAACGACTTGATATCATACCACGACGGCATTGACATGCCAAAGTTCAATGTTACCGGACTCTCTGGTGCATTTGGGAGAATAAACTTTACGTGCGGCAGCGTGCGCGACAGTATTTGCGCTACTGGCGCCCATCCGTGACCACTGTCACCGAGACCATGCAAGAAGATAACCGACGCTGTGTGCTGGGCGCGCGCCTTCAATACAACACTCGTTAACGCAGAAGGGCCTGACATTTCACTAGGATTGACCGTGGATTTGGTGGATTTGTTGTGGAAGAGCAATTTAAGATAAAGAAGCGATAGCAGAGAGAAAACACAGACCCGGAAGAAGAAGCCCGTCGACATGGTGAAATCTGCCTACTGGTGACCGATTGATCCCAAGCCACATGTGGATTTCTCAGATATGCCGTTGACTCGTCGACAGTGGGGCCATGATCCCAGCCATATAGGAGTCGCTGTGACATAAAATTTAGATACTGGCTGGAATTGAAAGACATAAAGAAAGGAAAAAGGTAAAACTAACGCACAACAAGACGTAGGGGACTATGTAGGATGAATAGAAAGAGGGATCAGTGCATAGATCTAACTTTTGCCCTAGACCCTATTCATTTAGAAGTAAGAAGAGACAACGAGGGCAGCGGCGACCGGGGCGGACGACTCCACAGTAGGCTCCTCAGAGGTGGCCTCAGTGGTGGTCTCCTCGGTGGTGGTCTCCTCGGTGGTGGTCTCCTCGGTGGTGGTCTCCTCGGTGGTAGTCTCCTCGGTGGTGGCTTCAGTGGTGGTCTCCTCGGTGGTCTCCTCAGTGGTAGTCTCCTCGGTGGTGGCCTCGGTGGTGGTCTCCTCGGTGGTGGTCTCCTCGGTAGTGGTCTCCTCGGTGGTCTCCTCCTCAGAGGTGGCCTCAGTGGTGGTCTCCTCGGTGGTGGTCTCCTCGGTGGTGGCCTCAGTGGTGGTCTCCTCAGAGGTGGCCTCGGTGGTGGTCTCCTCGGTGGTGGTCTCCTCGGTGGTGGCCTCCTCAGAGGTGGCCTCGGTAGTGGTCTCCTCTGTGGTAGTCTCCTCGGTGGTGGCCTCGGTGGTGGTCTCCTCGGTGGTGGTCTCCTCGGTGGTGGCCTCCTCAGAGGTGGCCTCGGTAGTGGTCTCCTCTGTGGTAGTCTCCTCAGAGGTAGCCTCGGTGGTCTCCTCCTCAGAGGTGGCCTCGGTGGTCTCCTCCTCAGAGGTGGCCTCAGTGGTCTCCTCCTCAGAGGTGGCCTCAGTGGTCTCCTCCTCAGAGGTGGCCTCAGTGGTCTCCTCCTCAGAAGTGGCCTCGGTGGTCTCCTCCTCAGAGGTGGCCTCGGTGGTCTCCTCCTCAGAGGTGGCCTCAGTGGTCTCCTCCTCAGAAGTGGCCTCGGTGGTCTCCTCCTCAGAAGTGGCCTCGGTGGTCTCCTCCTCAGAGGTGGCCTCGGTAGTCTCCTCCTCAGAGGTAGCATCAGAGGTCTCAGACTCGACAGAGGCATCCGACGACTCCTCAGCGGACTCAGACTCGACAGAAGCATCCGACGACTCCTCAGCAGACTCAGACTCGACAGAAGCATCCGACGACTCCTCAGCGGACTCAGACTCGACAGAGGCATCCGACGACTCCTCAGCAGACTCAGACTCGACAGAGGCATCCGACGACTCCTCAGCGGACTCAGACTCGACAGAAGCATCCGACGACTCCTCAGCAGACTCAGACTCGACAGAGGCATCCGACGACTCCTCAGCGGACTCAGACTCGGTCGGGGTCACGGTGTAGGTGGTCGTGATGGTGGTCGGTTCGCACTCATCGCACGGAGTAGTGGTGATGGTCTCAGTAACGGTAGTAGGCTCGCACGGGGTAGTCGAGTCCTCCGACGAAGGCTCCTCTGTGGTGGTCGGGGTCACAGTGTAAGTGGTCGTGATGGTGGTCGGCTCACACTCATCGCACGGAGTAGTGGTGATGGTCTCAGTAACGGTAGTAGGCTCGCACGGGGTAGTCGAGTCCTCTGACGAAGGCTCCTCCGTAGTGGTCGGAGTCACCGGTGTAGACGGTAGTGATGGTGGTCGGCTCGCACTCATCGCACGGAGTAGTGGTAATAGTCTCAGTGACGGTAGTAGGCTCGCACGGGGTGGTGGTCTCCGAGGTGGACTCGACCGACGACGGGACCTCGGTGGTCGGAGTCACGGTGTAGACGGTAGTGATGGTGGTGGGCTCGCAGTTGTCGCACGGGGTGGTCTCGATGGTCTCGGTGACGGTGGTGGGTTCGCACGGGGTGGTGGTCTCCGAGGTGGACTCAACAGACGACGGGACCTCAGTGGTCGGAGTCACGGTGTAGACGGTAGTGATGGTGGTGGGCTCGCAGTCGTCGCACGGGGTGGTCTCGATGGTCTCAGTGACGGTGGTCGGGGTGCACGGGGTCGTAGTCTCGACCTCAGTGGTTGGGGTTACGGTGTAGACAGTGGTGATAGTGGTCGGCTCGCACTCATCGCACGGGGTGGTCTCGATGGTCTCAGTGACGGTAGTAGGCTCGCACGGGGTGGTGGTCTCCGAGGTGGACTCAACAGACGACGGGACCTCGGTGGTCGGAGTCACGGTGTAGACGGTAGTGATGGTGGTGGGCTCGCAGTCGTCGCACGGGGTGGTCTCGATGGTCTCGGTGACGGTGGTGGGTTCGCACGGGGTGGTGGTCTCCGAGGTGGACTCAACAGACGACGGGACCTCAGTGGTCGGGGTCACGGTGTAGACGGTAGTGATGGTGGTCGGCTCGCAGTCGTCGCACGGGGTGGTCTCGATGGTCTCAGTGACGGTGGTCGGGGTGCACGGGGTCGTAGTCTCGACCTCAGTGGTTGGGGTTACGGTGTAGACAGTGGTGACGGTAGTCGGCTCGCACTCGTCACACGGGGTCGTGACAACAGTCTCGGTGACGGTGGTGGGTTCGCACGGGGTGGTGGTCTCCGAGGTGGACTCAACAGACGACGGGACCTCAGTGGTCGGAGTCACGGTGTAGACGGTAGTGATGGTGGTGGGCTCGCAGTCGTCGCACGGGGTGGTCTCGATGGTCTCAGTGACGGTGGTCGGGGTGCACGGGGTCGTAGTCTCGACCTCAGTGGTTGGGGTTACGGTGTAGACAGTGGTGATAGTGGTCGGCTCGCACTCATCGCACGGGGTGGTCTCGATGGTCTCAGTGACGGTAGTAGGCTCGCACGGGGTGGTGGTCTCCGAGGTGGACTCAACAGACGACGGGACCTCGGTGGTCGGAGTCACGGTGTAGACGGTAGTGATGGTGGTGGGCTCGCAGTCGTCGCACGGGGTGGTCTCGATGGTCTCGGTGACGGTGGTGGGTTCGCACGGGGTGGTGGTCTCCGAGGTGGACTCAACAGACGACGGGACCTCAGTGGTCGGGGTCACGGTGTAGACGGTAGTGATGGTGGTCGGCTCGCAGTCGTCGCACGGGGTGGTCTCGATGGTCTCAGTGACGGTGGTCGGGGTGCACGGGGTCGTAGTCTCGACCTCAGTGGTTGGGGTTACGGTGTAGACAGTGGTGACGGTAGTCGGCTCGCACTCGTCACACGGGGTCGTGACAACAGTCTCGGTGACGGTGGTGGGTTCGCACGGGGTGGTGGTCTCCGAGGTGGACTCAACAGACGACGGGACCTCAGTGGTCGGGGTCACGGTGTAGACGGTGGTGATAGTGGTCGGCTCGCAGTCGTCGCACGGGGTGGTCTCGATGGTCTCGGTGACGGTGGTCGGGGTGCACGGGGTGGTCTCCTCAGCCGGAGTGGTGGCAGGGGTGGTCTCCGACGACGACTCAACAGTCGAGGGGGTCGGCTTCTCCGGGGTGGTAACTGGGACAACCTCGCAGACAGTCTCGGTGATGGTATTCTTGACAGTAGCAACGTTGGTGGTGGTCTCAGTCACGGTCTGGGTGGCGTAGACAGTCTGCTCGGCGGTGTTGACGACAACCTGGGTCTCGGTAACAGGAGCACCAGTCTCGGTGGCAACGACGTTGCTGGTAGCGATGACGGTGTCGGTGGTCTCGGTGACCAGAGACGGGATGATCACGGTGTTGACCGAGTCGACATTCTCGGTAACGGTGGCCTCGTGGACCTGGTTAACGGTAGCCGGAGCCGGCAGCCACTGGGTCTCACCGATGACCTGGGGAACGGTCACAGTGGTGGTCGAGTACGCGGTCTGGACGTTGTTGATCGGAACGGTGACGGTGGCACCCTCGCACAGCGACACGGTCGAGTAGACGGTGTTGGGCACGGTGACGGTGGTCTCGTCCTCGCAGATCTCCTGGACAGTGTGGGTGTTCCCAACAGTGGCGACCTCGGTGACGGTGTTGGTAACGACAGTCTCGGGGGCGGTGACAGTGCGGACAACAGTCTTGGTGAAAGTGTTGCCAGGAACGGTCTGGTAGACAGTCTCCTGGACGGCGCCGACAGTGACGGTGTCAACAACAGTCTGGGTGGCCTGGTTGGTGACGGTAACAACCTGGGGGACGTTAACAGTAACAGTCTCGGCAGCACCAGCCGGGGCAGTAACGGTGACGGTGTTTCCGGCAGCAGTCTCCTTGACGTACTGGGTCTGGGTGACGGTGTTGCCAGTGCCCTCGCAGTTCTCGGTCTCGGTGGCAGTCACGGTGTTACCCGGAACAGCGACGATCTGAGTGCTGGTGACGGTGGCCTCCGTGATGGCGTTGACGTTGGTGGTCTTGGTGACCTCAGCGTTGTTGGTGACCGTGGCAGTGGTCGGGACGCACTGCGCACCCTGAGTGATGGTGCCGGTCTCGGTGGTGACAACCTTGGCGCTGGAGATGGTGGTCGAGTCAGCGACAGTGACCGTGGTGGTCGAGGTGGCGCCGGCCACGTCCTTGGTCTCAGTGACGGTGACAGCCTTGTCGTTGCCGCCAACGGTGACAGTCGAGGTGTTGTCGACAGTCTTGGTGGCGGTCTCGCCAGGAACAGTGACGGTGGACGGGACGCAGATCTCCGAGGAGCTCTCAACCTTAGTGGTGCAGGCATCGCCAATGCACGCGGTCTCAGTGACAATAGCAGTAGTGGCGCTCTCGCACGGGGTCGACGAGATTATCAGAGTCGGGACGACAGCAGTGGCCGTGGGCTTGATGGTCAGGGTCGGAGCAACAGTAGTGGCCGGAGCAGAGGTGGTGTCAACAACCTCGGGGTTGGTCTCGTAGACGCTGGCGTGAACCGCGGCCGAGAGGGCGATGATAGAAAGAATCGAAGCGCGAACCATCTTTACTCTGGATAAATTAAGTCAAAATGCAGGGCAGGGAGGGGTCTTTTATGTTTCAAGGGGGGGTGATCTTCTGGATTCGGGATTGGAAATCGATCGAAATTGGCCAAAAGATGCTGAAAACAATCAAAAAGATGTCGGATATAAGGTAAGCTTATAAGGGGTAGGAGATATGAGGGGAATAAAGGTTAAGGTGGGATGAGAAATAAGGTGTAAGGAAAAAGAAAGGGAAAGAAGAAAGGTGAAGTTTGCTTTTCTTTGAGTCCTTGGGGTTTTATAAAGCGAGGTCTTGTATAACAACAAGCAGAGCAGAGAGAAAGTTGTGCTGTACCAAACAAGAAAGAAAAAATTCACTAGAGGAAAAAGACCACCTCGAGCGTCAAAATCCACGGCCGTTTTATAATCGCCCCCAAATGGCGGCAGGTCCACACAGAACGCAGCATATCCGCACACATTCGAACTGCCCACCCACCGCCGGCTCTCTCCTCCTCTCACCCCCACACCGCCCGATCCGGCACTCTGTCGCGGGCATCAGCCAATGTGGTCCACAGAAAGCGTTGCCCAGAGGAACACAAGGCAGCCTGCTTTGGGAATGATGGGCGCATTGCGTGAGGCAAGGTGCTGAAGCTATATTTGCATCGTTAGAGCTGAACCCGTTGTGCGACCACAGAGCGCTGCTCCATGAATCCTCAACCCCTGCTGCGTGCTGCTGCTTGTTCTCCTCTGTCTACCGCCGCTCGGCTCTTACGAGAGCGCTCCTCCCACCCACTCGCTCCACTCTTTGTGCTGCCCATCACCTTTTTCGTATCCCCAGTGCGCACAACCGGCGGTTTGTGTAGCGGGCTGGCAAATGCGTTCGAATGACGCTTTTTCTCACTCTTGCGCTTCTCCTTTGCATCTCCTCAGCCAAACACAGCGAGTGGCGAGACCACTTTTTGCGCCAAACACTGATCCGCTCCATGTAGCACAGCATCTCTTGACACAGTAACGTCCCGTCCAATGTCGACTGTGTTCCTAGAATAGACCAAGCAGCGCTGGGCGCGGCGCAGCTGCCCATCCCACACTCTTTTATTCTTACGCCCTGGTAGCGTTCCCCAATGTGTGCTGCCAGAATCTTCTCAATCCCGCACTCTTGCCTGCGAAAATGGCGGCGGATGTTGGTGGTAGCGGATGTGGGCGTGGGCGTTGTTGTTGTCGTCGTCGTCGTCGTCGTCGATGGTGGGCAATGAAGGCACCCTAATCACTTTTGTGCCTCTGACCATTCCTGCGTCCTCATTGACACAAGCTGGTGCAGGATCGACTGAGCGGCATTGTACCGGGATCTAACTGAGGAGCTAAATATAACCCGTAGCCTCCGGTATTCCACGGGTTGCGCCGGACTGATGCGCGGTGACGATGTGCAGTTGCTGCTGCTGCCCCGCGCATTGACTGGCAGACTGGCAGATTGGCACTACGAGACACCTTGCGGAAATAGTTCGCCCTCAAAAGAATAATCCCAGCCTATTCTGTGTGTCTGTGTGGGATTGCGGGCACTCAAAGAGCCTGCAGTTCGCTTCAAGACGCTTCGTTTGCGGTAGCCCGCCGGCTGCAGGGGGAGAGGAGACATGGGTGTCAGCAGCAGCATAGGATACTTCAACCTACCCACCCATGCGCTCCTGTCGCCTGACGACCGATGAACAGAAAGGAGCCGTGTCGGTGCCCTTCGGAAGAACAAACGCCCGCCACTGGCTGCAAGCCGTTTGGGATACCACGGAGCGCCGAAGGCCAGGGAGGGGGTGCAGTTTCCTGGACCCGCCACCCTCCGGATGTTGCTTTGATATCTGTTATGAATACCTCAGCCGTATTGGTGGTGTAAATGCAGTTTGTCTCTGGGCGCTTCAGGAATTGGCAACGAAGAGCAAGATCCTTTGTTTGTAGGCACAGACGGCAGGGACAGCAGGAATGGCAAAGGTTAAAAACAGCCAGCAGGCTGTTGAAATATCGTACGACATTTGTGCCAAGCAGCAGTTTCCGCTGATGCTGCTGCTCAGCGGCGCTTTTTGGACAAGTGCTGTTCTTACGGTGGTCGTCTAATCGGCTACCATCAATCTTGTTTGGATATACCTTGCGCTTTTTGCCACCCCACGCTCTATGGAGCTCACAGATCAGTTTGCAATGGACACTCTATTTTCTTCCTGCAGGCACAGTCCATAAGGCATATATCACATACGGATGTTGGTGCAGCATCACGCCTGTAGCAGGCGCTTCGAACCCCCACGTGGGGGAGATTGCTTGCTGCTCCAGAAACCAGAACAGCATTCAGGCGCTCCGATTGATCAAGACACGAGTGCACTTCTCACCCACACAAAAAGTGCTTTTTTGAATTTCGCTTCTTCTTTCTTGGCAGTGGTGTCCGTTGGCAGCATTTTGCCTGTGAACCATTTTTCAGTATTGTCTACAGTCTAATTTCCACCAGCTTGAGCACATTGTGTTGTTATTCGCAACCATGGAGGACGAGCACAAAACAATGATTACACAGCTCACCGATTTGGACGACCATGCACTGGACGAGCAGGCAGGGCTGTTCATGCATCCGCGGCACAAAACACTCAAGGCAGGGCAGACGCCACGGCCGCTGTCCCAGCCATTCTTTCAGCCGCAGCAGGTGTTCCCAGACGTGATGAACGTGAGTGCCATGGTAGAGCGACAGGAACAGAAGGAACAGAAGGAGCAGCAGCAGCACCAAACGGAGAATGCACCGAATGACTCACCAACACCCACAGCCTTGGTGGGTAACAGGTCGTCCGGTGCTGTATCAAAGATGAATCCCGCTGGTTCTTCTTCTGCTGTTGCTGTTGCTCTTGCTGCTACTGCTTCTGCTGCCCAGGACCCAGTATCCACAACGGCTGAGCCGATGAACCTGGCGCTCCCGGCGCCCAAGGGCGTAGTTGGAGCTGGAAATGCCGATGTATTGAATGTGGGTTTAGCAGGCAGCATAGGAATAGGGCAGGCACGCTCAGGGCTGCGCAGCGTGTCCCTGACGCGGCTGGCAGGCGAGGGGCCAGATGGACTATTGCGGACCCTAGGCAGTGGCGAGTCACTCGTGCGTGACGGGGCCAACAATGCGTGGCCAGAGCGGCGCGGACGCACGCCCAATCCGCCAGCATCAAGTGACACAGCCGGGTATCTCCAGCCTGCACTGCGCAGCGGCACACCGGTCGAGACGCCTATAGAGGAGGGCGACCGGCAGCTCAGCGTCGAGACCAGCAGGCCAAACAAGGCAGGGCGCAAGCCCGGCAAGCGGGCAGGGGACCGCCCTATGCAAGGAAAGTCCAGCAGGCTGTTTACGCGGCGCACAGCGGCATCGAGCCGCGGCAGTGAGGAGGACGGCTCGGACGAGAACGAGCAGTTCATCTACCGCAACTCGCGCAGCAGCCTGCGTGTCAACTCGATCCCCGAAGAACCATACGACGAGCGCGAACCGACTGGCAAGCGGCGCAGCAACCGGCACCGGCTGTCGACATATATGAGCGGCGACCGGCGGCTCAGCTCGGGTGTGGGACGCATGGGTGCGGCTATGGGAGCCATGTCATCGATCAGCCAGTACCCGGCGTATGCCTCCAGCCCGGCATACGCTGGTGCAGGCGCCAGCTCGGGTATGACCACATCGGTAGGTGGTATTGGACCGGGCAGCCGGTCTGGCCGGCGCGTTGGTGGTAGGCATATGGTGCGCGGCAGCAGCAGTAACAACGGGCACCGTTTCAGCATTCTGACACAGTCCAACAACGAGTACGGCGAGAGCACCGAAGAGAGCGATCTGGACGCTGAGCCCGCGGGACTGCGGTCTACGTACAACACGTATGCGCGCCGCAACAGCCGCAGGTTCCACTCGAACGTGTACTATGGGTCGTCTGAGGATCTGCCGGAGACAACGCCCCTGTTCCGTCGTCACACCGGCCAGCGTCGCAAAAAGGCAGGCATGCTAACCCAGCTGCTACGTGCCATGCTCATGTCGCTTGCCATTCTGGCTTCGCTGTTCGTGCTGGCTGCACTGTTCAACTACACCTCGGCGCCACTGGCCGATGTGGAGGCGATAAAAGTGTCTAATATCCTGGCTACCGAAAAAGAGCTATTGTTTATTCTGCATGTCAGGTCGACTAACCCTAATATCCGCGAGGTACTTGTCGAGCGTGCTGAAATTGGCGTTTTTGCCGGCGCCGCCATTGCCAATTCGACAATATCGCCACCTGCTGGTCTGCTGGCCACCAACGAAACGGAGCCTGCGATCCTGCTTGGCAACGTGTACGAGCTGAGCGACCCGATGCGGTTTGCCCCAGGTTCGTTCCGCCTTCCCACCACGGGCATCAAAACGACGCAAATCAGTATTCACCACCCGGGCGCCTCGATCGGCAGCGGCGACGGTGATGATGACGACTCGGACTCAGCCAGGTGGAGACGGCTGCTCAAGGGCCCCTACGACCTAACCATCCGCGGAACTCTGCAGTACACCCTGTGGCAGAAGAACTACGCTGCCCGCATCTGTATTGCTAAGCTGGCTAACTCACCTGCCGAAAATTCCACGATGAGCACGTTTGTAACTGCCGCTGGGCTTGGGTGTGAAGAGCGCGATGACGATACTATTACGCTACCGCGCCCCCCTGTGCTGCCGTTCCTGAAAATCTTCGGCCGGTTCCTATGGGCCCGCTGAGTTTAAAGTTTGTAGCGATTCCCTTCGCTGCCGCTTTTCTCTAGCGCTTGGCCCTTTACTTCTTCAGGACAATGCACCTGCCGGTACTTTTGACGAGGCAGCGCTAATAATAGGCACAGCCGCGCGTGCTCGGTGACTGGCGAATAATCACTCGTTTTGGCATTTGTACCCATGTTTCTAATATAGCCTGCATATGATAGGGATGGACGCAGAATAAATGTGCAACTATCATTGTGCACACTCGGCACCAAACATGCACAGGGCGTAGATCCCATCAGTCGCCGAACCAAGCTCTACTTGGGATATATGTATGTGACGTATGCTGCCTGTTGCTCCTTTAATTGTCTTCCGCTCTTGCGACTGGAGGCAGTGGGCTGGATAAATACCATGCAGTGCTGGAAAACAGACGCTTCTTGAACAGTGGCAGCATTTCACTGATACTGCTTAATGTGATACACTTGACAGGTTGAATTAAGCTGCACCAAATGTTGTGGCCGGTTCCTGAGAAGCAAATAAAACATGCATGCTCCAGTGACAAGCAGGACTTTGTTGAAGAGAATGAGGCGTGGGGCGTATTTTCTACCAGCGCAGATATATGTGCAGGTGCTACCCTAAAGACGAGGCAGGCAGCTGTCAATTTGTGCTCTCTCGTCGATAGGATAAGGGTAGCAGAGCTACTGCACTGCAAAAATATTTAAACAGGATACCTGAGGAGTGTATCTCGCGAGCAACTCACACCAAAGCCACCACTACTCCACACCCAACTGCCACTGCTCCACAACCTCTCTTGACAACAGCAGCAACTTGCCAGAGAGCAATATGCTATTTTTTGCAACCACCGGTATGTCAGGCCTCTTCCCAAACCACCCCATAGCCCCCTCCTATGCCCACCTCCTATGCCCACCTCCTGCGCTATTGACCCGCAGCCCAATTTAACCGCACTGCCATGTTGGCAGAAAGAGAGCCTAAAAACTCTTCCCCTCCCTATTTTCAGGTGTTAGAACGTGCTTTAAACATTTCACCACGGCCTACACATCCGACTGGCTGCGAGTCATGTGCCACTCCCGTTTGGGATATGCACAATGACGCAATGCCTAAGGAACCCGCTTGTTTGTTCGCAACGACCCATGCATGAAGTGACATCCACCCGCATTATAGTATGCTTCGCACTGAACAAGCCCTGGCCAAATACCAAAGGCTATGCAAACTTGTTTGAGAACAAAAGGCGAATGGGATCCATGTAAGGTGCTGCATCTTGCGAGCACGGGCTGGTGTGGGCGGGACGAACGTTTGGCCTGTGTATTAAGGCGCAGCTGTCCAGGGAGAGGTTGCTCACCCACACCTCAACCTCCCCTTCCCAGCGCCTTGCGCATGTGTTTTTCCTTCGGCCACTAGTCAACAAGGTTGCTTATAATGGCCCACCCCCCCCCCCGACGTGCTGACAGCACACATCCTTAGCATCGATGGCCAAACCTCTACCTTCTGCATTCATCTTCTCTGGTCAGCATCCATATTTTTCTTTCCAAATCAAGTTTTGTATCCACAGCCACTAGTATGAAATTTACTGTCAGCGGTAAGTCTCCTCCCAAACAGGCGCAGATTAGAGAGGAGGGGTTTTTTGTCGCTCTATATACCCAAACTATTGTTTTTGACCGCTGGTTCGGCTATCCATCCCCAAGAGCCCAGCCAACCACTGCAACCTCACGTGGGTAGTGGAAACGAGAAACGAAAATACTAAAGCGCTGCTTTTTTGCCAATTTTCTGACCCCTCGCCTCATCGACCCCCAAAAACCAATGCGGCATGAGGGGGACGCCTTTAAAAAAGAGTGACTATGCTCATGGCCGATTTTCTGTTCTTTTTCTCCTCTACTTGCGCCAAAATACTAAATATTTCTGCTCTCTTAAATTCCATATTCGCTCCCCTTTGTTTCTACACCCTCGTTTCCCGGTTTTTGGCTTTGCATATCCTGTAATACAACCGAAATTCCCCAATTACATAAATAAGCCGAACACATCCACCGATACTAAAAAAAAGAGCCGAAACGGACCTTATTTTTAACTTCCCCCTATTTTGCCCCCGCCACCGTGGGCTCTGGATATCTCTTGCCCCTGCGTAACGAAATAATTACCCGTCGCCGTCGCCGCCGCTGCCGCACACTACAATAGCCGAAAACTACCTAGCAGCCTATCGTCTGATCGAGCCTGCTTGTAACGATAATACTAGCTCTATGGCACCGCAACAGCCAGGATATTCGCAAGGGATGGTCTCGACAAGCGGATACACGTTTCAAATGCCCATGGCCACTACCAGTGCTGCTGGTTCAGCGCTCGCCGCCAGCCGTGGGTCCGTATCGTTCACACAGCCACCATTAACCAGTAGCAGTACTATACCCAAGCCGACTACGCTCGCGCCATCGGTCCAACACGCCAATATGCCTCCTGGGTATTCGTCTCTGTGGAATGAGCAGGCAGTTGTTCCGTCCAATGACATATCTGGCAGTGGCGCTGGGTCGTCGCCAACACTGGGGTCGCGCCAGACGAACAATATCAACAGCGACAGCAAGAACATCAATGGCAAGCGCACCGGTGGAGGAGCAAAATCCGGTGGAGTCCGTAAATCCCGCGCCGGCAACCCAGCAGTGAAGAGCGCCAGCCCCGACGACGACGACAACAACGACGACAGTTCCGAGGAGATGGACGAGAAGCGGCGCAAGTTCCTGGAGCGCAACCGCGTGGCAGCCAGCAAGTGCCGGCAGAAGAAGAAGATGTGGATTAAGGAGCTGGAGCGGCGCGCCGAGGACGCGACGATGCAGAACCGCACGCTGCACCTGGCGGTTGCACAGCTGAAGGAGGAGGTGATAATCCTGAAGACACAGTTGCTGGCGCACCGCAACTGCGGGTGCAATGCAATCCAGCAGTACTTGCAGGCCGACTGCGGGGACCCGATGGCACACGCGGCAGTCGCGGCGGCGACGGTGCCGCTGACCCAGCCGCTGCCGGGCACGGTAATGCAAGATCCGACGGCGGCAGCAGCGGCAGCAGTGGTAGCAGCGGCTGCTGGCTTCCCACTTGCCACTCAGCCGCCCCCGCTCACACAGCAAATGCCGCCGCCGCCACCAGCGCCTCCACATGCACCTGTCCACAGCTTTGTGGCAGGTAGTTCGGCATTTATTGAGCAGACACACCCCTCGGCCTCGCCGAACCTAGGCTCCCAAGCGGCCACCTCGCTGGTCGCAACGCCAGCCCTCAACAGTACTGCGTTTGGGAAGGGCCTGAACGATGTGCAGGTGCCGTAATTATGTGCTGGGTACTTTCTTTTTTTGCCTGAGCCGTCCCAACGACCAGCATGTAAATTTGCCTGCTCACTGAAGCTGCACCGCGCATTCTCATCCATCTATTATTTTTTTACTCCGAAACCACCATCCGTATCAAGGTGCGTGCTGGTGTGGCTGTCTATAAGAAAACGTTGGTAAATAGCACGGTGCACTGGCGCCGCATTCTGTTGTGTTGCGTAAATGTCATTGAGATATTGGAAAGACACGAAGGTGAATGTGAGTCGAATCAAAAGAGAACCGCAAAAACACTCAAAATAAACCCACATGGCGCTGCCACTGCGCTTGCTGCATTCTGCGGATGGAAGACATGCGGGGCGGCCATAGCCATCCGCTGCTCTTCCTGCTGCTGACCCAGAACCACCGTGCTGGTGTGCAGCATCGTTGCGACGCCGTCGCCTTCGTCGACAACAACCATATGGCTAGTGTCATGCATTGCGCTCCTGTTAGAGTCTCCATCGGTCGATCTGTCTGCCACAGCAGCCTGGTCCTCGTCGATATCCTCGCCGTGGGCATTGACGATCTGGGTCACCACCTGGATGACCTTGTGCGGGCCAGATGTAGCTAAAGGAGCGTGGGGTACTGTTGCGCTGGGCTGTGTAGCCGGGGTGCTGTGAGACTCGGGGCCGAGGTCCTCAGGCACTTCCATGTCGATTGACCCGGGCACCTGCAGGATTTCAGAACTGCCTTGGGGCGATACACTGGCAACAGAAGGCACATTGGCAACAGAAGGCACATTGGCAACAGAAGGCACATTGGCAACAGAAGGCACATTGGCAACAGAAGGCACATTGGCAACAGAAGGCACATTGGCAGCAGAAGGCACATTCGCTACAGATAGTATGTCCACTCTGGCCTGTTGCTGGCTATCAGCAGGCATTTCAGTGCTGCTCTGCTGGGACGGCAGGCCAGAAGCGGCGTCGCTGGCGTGGTTCACTACAGCAAAGTTCTTGGCTGGTGCCAGCACTCCCGTTACACGATTGAAGATTCCGTCGAGGTCGAGCAGTCCTCCCGGAGCACCGAGCACCGAGAGTGTCAGGATGAGCTGCACACAGAACAGCTGAAGAAATAGAGTGGGCATGGTCATTAATATATACTGAGGTTATCGTTAGAATAGTCGTGAAACAGGGGAGAATATGAGGAGAGGTGCTTTCTTTCGCACTCCTGCAAAGGTCGAGGTATGCAGTTTTTTATATGGCCAGAGCCTGCTGCGTCAGGTATTCCCGGTAACCGGTCCTGAGTATGAACTTGTTGCCCGGCAAAGGACGACTGCTTGCGTATGTGCAGTAGCAAACAAGAAATAGGTCAGCGAGTTCAATGTGTGTGCGTGTCTTTTTGAAACGTTTGTCCGTCATTAGGGACCAAAAATACGCAATGGCAGTAGCATTAAAATTTGGGCACATTGGAACGGGTTTCGGCGGCTGTTTAGGCAAGCAGGTTAAACTTGTACGTGGCCGTATGCGTAAAGTTGTCGCCGGGATGCAGCACGACCTGGTCGCGGAACTGCGGCAGGTTGACGGCATTGGTAAAGCGCTGGGTCTCCAACGCAACAGCAGCATAGTTGCCGTACTTGACACCGTCCTTTCCGATCAGCTTATCCGAGATCCAATTGCCCGTATACACGACCACACACGGCTGATCCGTCAGCACGGTCATCTGCAGACCGGTCTTGTCGCTCCACAGCCGGGCGACCTCGCGCACGCTCTCGGTGGGCTTATCGCTGGCAACAAACACATGGTCGTATCCGCGCAGCGTGTCCTTGTCAAAGGTCTCGATGTCGTCGCCGAAGCGGCGCGGCGCCGTGACAAAGTCCAGGTTCGTGCCCTTCACTGAGGCACACTCGCCGGTGGGAACCATAATGTGGTCAGGGCGCGTCGCCATGTAGCGGTCGGCGGTCAGACTGCACATGTGGTTATGGATGGTGGGCTCCTCAAAGCCCGTCAGGTTCCAGTACGTGTGGTTGGTCGGGTTCAGGATCGTCTCGGTGCCGTCCAGCAGCCGGCCGCCATACGTTAGGGTCATTGCGTTGTCCTCGGAGAGCGAGTAAGTGACAGAAAACTCGACCTCGCCGGGGAAGCCCTCTTCGCCGTCCGGCGACACATACGTGAACCTGACGCTGGATGGGCTGGGCTCTGAAAGGATCTCGGCGGAAAACTGCTTCTTGTCGAAGCCGATCTTGCCGCCGTGCAGGCATACTTTGTTGGGCTGGATCTCGGGCAGCGAGAGCTTCTGGTTGGCGACGGTTACATCGTCGCACGGGTAGATACGGCCCGCCACGCGGCCCACAGTGGCACCAAAGTACGGGTCGTCGATGGCGAGCGATTCGATCCACTTCTCGTAGCTCTCAAAGCCCGCAACTACGTCACGTGCAGTGTCGGTCTTGTCCTTGACGATGAAGCGCACGAGGCGGGCACCAAAGGTGGTTACGTGGAGCTCGGTGCCGCTGGCGTTGGTGAGCTTGTACAGGGTATACTTTTCGTCCTTGCTGAATGCCTGCTTCGTAACTGCCATGGTTTCGGAGGGGTGTGCTGTGTTTAAAGAGGGGTTGTTTGTACAGGCAGTGAGGGGGTGTTGATGGAGTGTGCGAGAAGGAAAAAACCGCGGGCTTGTGCCCATGCTTTTATACTCCTGCTGATGCAAGGAGGTTTTTCGCCTGAGCGCGTGAGCAGGCATGCGCATACCGGCCCTTGCGCGCCGGCCGATCCTGCCAGCACTTCCCCTGATCCAGGAGTGTAGATGGCACCGGGCTAGATGTTTCAGCATCGACCACCTCCAGTGCCCCGTGCAAGACCGATCAGGCAAGCAAAGAATGCAAAGACCAAAGTTCTCATATGGCGAGGCATTTTATTCCAGTACAACCAGCCACTAGGCCGCCTACCACTTGGTGTCTGGGCCTGCCAGTTATACCCAAACGCGTACTGGGCCAGAGACAAGCATTCGGCTAATGGCTGAGCAAGCTGATACACTATCTATGGCTTCTTCTATGCAATACCAAATAGCAGTGATGTGGTGTGCATCGAGCCCCACTGCTGGCACTGTCTATGCAATGTCTAGGAAGTTGGTCGCAGTCCGGAACCCGCAGTCCTCGGCAATCGGGGCATTCCCCGGGCGCACCGACACCACAGTCTGCAGGCCGGCCTGATCCGCGGCCTGGATCTCCTTGATGCTATCGCTAACGAACAGCACGCGGCTGGGCTCCACGCCAATGTCCTTTACAATCCGGCTGTAGCTCTCGGGCTCGATCTTGGCACCAATTTTGGTATCGTAGTAGCCCGAGAACAGTCCCAGCATATTGCCGTGGTCGGAGTGGCCAAACAGGAGCTTCTGCGCCTCGACGCTGCCCGACGAGTAGATGTACACGTTCTTGCCTGCCTCGACCCACCGGCGGATTGCCATGGAGGCATCGTCGTAGATTACGCTGACCAGGGCGCCGCTCTCAAAGGCAAATTTCCACATGTACCCCTGCAGGCCCTTGAGCGGCCCGATCTTGCGGTCGGCGCGCATCTGCCACGACACGTTCGCCAGGACCTTTTGGCGAATGTCCTCCTGCGAGTCTGCGGCCAGGTCGATGGCAATGGCCTGGGCGAGCCCGTCGGCAACGTCCTTGTTGGCCTGCTCGGCAATGGACTGGACGTGGGCGCGGACTGTCGGGTCGGTCCAGTGTGTGGCGAGGAACTCGTCGATGTTGCTGGTGATGTAGGGGAACATGGTTTCGTGCACGAACGTGATGGGCGTCGTGGTGCCCTCAATGTCGAGCACGACCGTATCGTATGTGGCAGCCATTAAGCAGGAAACGAGAAATTTCAGAAAAAAGAGTCTGAAAAGATAGCAGCCATCGCCAAACACTTGGGAAAAAGGAAATCGCTGGTCATTTTTTGTCTCAGGTTTTTTTTTTGCTTTATTGTCTTTTCCCACCCACAAGAACAGCATAGCACAATATGCACATATCCTATCTCCGCAAGCGCGCGCGCCTGGGGCACAGCCCCACTACATATCCTCACATAGCTCTAACACATGGAAGCAGAGATTGACAATATTATCGAGTCGCTGATCGAAAGCGACCGGACGGTGTTTGGCGTAGTAGTCACGGACGACAGCGGACTGTGCCTGGCAACCAGGGGCGACAACATCCCAGAGGAGGCAGCCGGACTGGTGGCAGCCATTGCCAACCGGTCAGAGAACTTTCTGTCGCAGCCTAACGCCGAGGTGGTGTATTCGCCGGTGGCACAGATCGAGGCGGAGAACATGGTTGTTTTGGTGCGGAGAATCGACACGGTTGTGGTCGGGATCTTCAAGCACCGGGACACATAGGGCTGGGGGGTTTTCATTTAGAAACAGGGCTTTTATGAGGGAAACGAAAAATGAGAATGAAGCTTTTAGATATCATCTATGGACACTCTACTCCTCGTTGAGGGCAATGACGGCCATGATGGCCAGGCCGACCAGCATTGCGGCAATCTCAACCAGGGCCATGTTCACATTGCGCTTCAGCCGCAGCTCCTCGCTGACCTTGCCCTGGCGCTCCCCATGCTGCTCCTCCTCCTCATCGGGCTGCAGCAGATCGGGCAGCACCGACACAGTGCCGACATAAATGAATCCGCCGGCCGTGAAGGGAATAACAAGCTTACTCCACGGAACACCGGCCACGGTCGCTGGGAACAGACCCAGCAGACCCGACACGAACTCTGGCAGAATCGACGCGCCCTTCGCCCCGCCAGGGACAAACAGCGGCGCGCCCTTGGTAAGCAACCCTGAGACATTCAGAACGTTGCCGCTGCCGGCCTCCTCGATCAGAATGCCAGCAATGGTGCCGGCAATGGCGCCCAGGGCGGTAAAGAACTGCGACGCCAGGGCCGACGACCGCGAGAACCCAGACTGCACCAGAATGGCAAAGTCGCCCAGCTCGTGGGGGATCTCGTGGAAGAACACGGCGACAAAGGTCGACAGGCCCGCGGCATGGCTCAGGTAGAACGACGCAGCCATGGCCAGCCCGTCGGTGAAGTTGTGGGTGGCATCGGCGATCAGATTCAGATACGCCGACATCTTCACCTGCTTCTTGGCCGGCGCCCCGTGCAACTCGTCATCGCTGGCCGCGTCCTTCTCGTCATCGCTCTTGTTCGTCCGCCGCTTGCGCAGCTTCTGCTTGCCGTCGGCTACTGAGCTCGATGCGGCCGCTGTGGGCTTCGGGCTGTGCGAGTGGCTATGCGAGTGGCCGTGCGAGTGGCCGTCTCCAAAGATACGCATAAACTTGTCCACTACAACAAACACCAGCAGGCCGACGAAGATTGCGCATCCATACACAGTGTTGCGCGTCGCCTCAGGCACGTCGTCGTCGTGGCTATGGCTGTGGCCATGGTGATCGTGGCCATCCGAGAACATATGCGGAAGCAGATGCAGAAACACATCACCGAGCAGCCCGCCCACGGCAAAGCCGACCATCACCCGCAGCGCCCTGTTGGGAATGGACGACGGCGTGGCAAACAGAATCAGGTTCGGGAACAGCGAAATGTAAAAGGTGGCCAGCAGCGACGACATGGCCGGGTTGCCCTTGGGGAACAGCCCGCCCAGCAGCTTCTCCAGCCCCGACGTCCTCTGCGCCGCACGCTTCTCGTGGATGTGGTCGTGCGGCATGTCGTGGTGGCCGCTCAGGTGCGCAAACGGACACCCGCCGTCCTTGGCTGCCTCGCGCTCAAACAGCTGCTTGGCCGGATTGCGTGCTTCCTTGGCGCCGCACCCGCACCCGCACCCGCCGTCGGGGTGGCCGTGGCTCGCGTGGTGCACGTCGAAGCGGGTCTCCTTGTGGCCAGCATACTCGTCGACATGGAACTCCATGCTGGGATTCAGCTCCTTGGACAGAATCGGGCAGTTGCCCTTCATGTACGCAATTGCCTGAGCCGCCGTCATCTGCCCCGCCCGGTACTCGGCGCGCACGCGCTGGAAGTGCGGGCAGTTGTTGAGCAGCGGCGACGTCGTGTCGCACAGCA